ACGTTCCTTGTTGTAGAATGTTAAAATAATGACCGTTACAACTTTTAATATTTATTGTTTGTTTGTCTGCTTTTATCTCTTTCATGGCAGCCTCGGGTCAGCATTTTGTAGATCGCCACCAGACAGCTCTGATTAGCAAAGTGAGAGATACAGAACACATCCTGGGTAAACTCAAGAAGAGGAAGTTCATCTCAAAGGAAAAGAATGATGCTGTGGCAGCTTTAAAATCTTCACAAGACCAGATGGAGGGAATTCTTCAGTGTTTGACCAGCACAAGAGCAAAAGATGCTCTCTATGAAATCCTTAAAGGGATGAGGAGTATGAGGCCTCTTATCCTTGAGCTTGAGGAGCTAGAATAAAGGAGCAAAACTTAAAAGTAAAGCTGTAGCTTTGGACACTAAGAGAACATTTGACATTGAGATAACAAAAAACAACTTGTGAAAATGGACACAGGAAAGAAACAGAAAGAGGTTTTATTAAATATAAAAATGTTGTCTAGACAGTCTAGTTGTCTATGTGCCTTTGGATGCATTAATATACATTTTCGATATTTTCTTTACTACATAGTTGTAAGGAGTTGAAAGGGGAGAGGAAGATGCTGGACAAAATGTTATCCAGTTAATATTTAGCATCCTTAATGTACTGGTCAAATTGTTACTTTTTAGTAATGGACTTATTCATGTCTGCTGTGAAAAGGAATCCATCAGACACCTCAGATGAAAAGAGAGACTTTATTAAGGAAACTAAGCTCCTAAAACTTTATCATTTACATATTTTTTATTTAGTGTTTTGTTTATGGATTTATGAAACCTCTTACGACTACTAAAGACTAAGAAAGAAACTAAGAAAGTATTCTCAGTTTAAATAATTTTGTATCTTTATACATCTTTGTAATATCAGTCTTTTTTTAATTCTTTAATATTCATTGTTTTACATTAAGCAAAATGGGTCAAGCAAACCCAATGAACTTGTTAAGGATGCATGTGCATAAATGTGCATGTGTGTTTAAATGCACTGATTTTGTAATTTAAATGTTTAAATGGCAGAGAATGTTTTTTAATATATATATGTATGAATTTATATATGTATGTATTTTTTTTTGGGGGGGGGCTTTTATTGGACAGCTGAAGATAGACAGGAAAGGGGGAGAGAGGGAGAGGGCCACAGGTCTGATTCAAATGGTCACTGCAGCAAGGACTCAGTCTTGGTACATGGGGCATTTTAAGTAAGAATACATGGATTTTGATGTTTTGCTGTAATGTGCTTTTATAAAGGCTTGTTGTTGAAATGTTAGATTTGTTTGATTAATAGATGAAGTCTGTTTGTTTTATTTGTATAATCAAAAACCCAACAGGGTTCCAAAATGATCTGAAATAATTTATCCATGCTAATACCCAGTTTTAATATAAAATAGATTCATTTGAATCACGTGTCACTGATTTTCTTGTGATTTCATCTTGTCTCCATGTATATTTTCAAGAAAAATAAACAATGTATCTTTAGTATTTAAAGTTCTCTTGTATTTATTAGAAACAACAACCATATAATAGGATTGCCAATAGTAGCCTACTGAAATTAGTTGTTAGTTGCCCCTGATGATTGTTTTAGGAGCAAAGTATCTCAAATTAAGAATACATTTTTAATTTCCATATGCAATCATGTATACATAATTTTTGTGCACAACATTTACTTTAAAGAAAAATAATTGAATCGTCTTAACGTTGGAAAAAAATAGACAGGGTTTTATTTTCCAGAGGTCACAAAAGAATGTAAAATACGAATGTGTACACTGTAGTTATTTCAAATAATCACCTTTAATAGGAATGCCAGGAAATAAATATACAAAATCAAACCGGTATTCCTTTGCTAATGACGTTCAACACCTGCCGTCTACAGGTCCTATTGGTTAATCTGAGCCACGAGCCCCTCCAGCTCCGGACGGCCCTTAAAGCGTGCTTTGTAATCAGCCTCGGTGTGCTGAGGGGGAAAACAGGGAGGGGAGAGAAGGTCTCTGTTAGTGTTAAACATTAAGGAAAATAATGCTTGCTTTAAGGTTGCACATATTTATTAGTACTTATAAAAGTATTTAATTGAATATTTATGAGCACAGATGTTACTACATTACTTTAATGCAGACTTGTGTTCGTTAAACCACTCCGCTATTAACACAATTGATGTGTTCTCATGCAGTCAATTAACTCTTCACAAAAATGCTTAAACTGTCTTTACATATAAGCTTACCAAATACTAAAATTATGGATTTCTCTTCTTATTGTTTGCACATGCCAGAAATAAATCTAATGTTTAAAATCTTAAATATGGTATAAAGCCTCTACTTCTGAAACAACAGCAGCTCAAAAGCTACACTGAAACAGCTGATAAGCATTTCTGAGTGAACGGATCACTGAAACATTGAGAAATGGCCGATTTGTGTAAATTAGACGGAGACATAACCAGGTTCTTAGGTTCTTTGATTTACATGATATAGTAGCCTAAAGATGACTTACTCACTTTTAGATAGCATGTTGTCAAAAATGGTAGTGGTTTACAATAAAAGGAAAATGAATTATAAAAAAAAAAAAACTATGGAATCCATATTGTCTATCATATGCAGGAAGAACTGAGATATGAAAAGTAACGCCGTTTTTGTAATGCCATCAACTGTTAGTATCTTTAAAGTCTGTGCTGTGATTGACTACATCTTCCTCTTGGATTGAAGGTGCAAACACAGACGGTGGCCGGTTGAAACCAACCTCCCAACTCTACTGTCATGCTGACTCACCTCCTTCACAGAGAGTTGAACTCCCTCTGGCTGATTCTTTAAAAGCACTTCCAAGAAGATGGGACACAATGAGGTCTTCAGCAGGCTCAACTAGACAAACAGATAAATAATTCAATATTTAGGTCTTCACAAAGTCTCAGTACAGTAACGGAGCATTCAGGAGACAGTTTTTACCTGGACGACTCGCTCGTGAGTCCTTAGGGTGGAGTCGACATACAGCTTGGTGCCTTGCTCTTGCATTAGCATGACCTCTGTGGTCTGGGTCGGCAAAGCATAGCTGCCAAAGCGATAAGAAATATGTATATATTATATTATATTATATATACAAATGTAAGCATAGATATGTTCTCATCAAAACGATCTATTCTACTGCTCTGCAAAGGCGACACGAACGCATGAAGGATTTGAAGGTTTCTATTTGTTTCAGCCTTCTGACATTAGTCCAGTGGTAAAATACCAGGTTTAAATGGAATATATGCATCACAGTTCACCATACTGTATTTATATTTTATCATCTTAAACCCATAGTTGTTATCAATAAGTAAATTAAGGCGAGACACTACTGTTTTTTCACGCACTGGTCAATTTTGAGATCTGGGGCTATTTTGCTTCTATAACATCTTTTTCTTTCAGACTAGTGGAAAGATTTACTACACTTTAACACTTTAACGTATTGTGATTTCACCAAAAGTTAACATGTGATAATGCCTCATTTGCATATTTAAACATAACATTTCAGAAAACTTGTAACACAGAAAATGATTCTCTTGATGCAAGTAATCGAGAGGGCGAGTTATATTGTGATATCTATTGGTTAAAACTTTTACCCTATTCAACTGTAGTGTCTCCCCTTAATAAACACATTCACCTGCACCCTCTATTGGTTTCCATCCCATATCCCCCTTATAAGAGTGTAACACCTTTGTAGTAATTAAAGACAGTTACGTCTTTCTAAATATCCTCACCTTTCTGCCACTTTGATGCCAAGCCTGTTGCAGAGGTTGTGGACGTACTGGGAGTAGTGCTCCACCAATGTCATGTCATAACCTGACACTTTCACATTTACAGTCCCGTACACTTTTTCTGTTGTTGGCGCGATCGGTTTCATCTGGTGTTTATATTTCTTTTTCTTTGGCTAAAAAAGAAAAAAAAAAAAAACATAACACACTTTGCAAGTCACTTCCAACTTTTCCTTTTTTAGACATAAGACAGGCTAGGGTTGTCATCTTTAGCTTCAAATTTCACTCAAATTATCACATTACATTTGTCTTGTGGTCCAGCAGAGGTCGCTCTTACAATCATAAATCAGCCTACCCTATTGCATGCCCTATTGACCTATCAGTAAACTAAGTTAATAAGTAACAGTATACGGGTTGTGTTGTGAACACATTGCATTAGTTTAAATGAATTCAAACATCATCAAGAAATAAAATGAGGCCATCTCATGAATCTAGTCACGTTTCTTCACCAAAAGATCTTTCTAAAATAAAAATAAACAATCTAATCTGGTTTTAGAGTCTTACCGCTTCTCTAGGTATAAGATGACTATACCTCCCAATCCCCTCGGTCGGCATGGATTTAAATTGTCTTTCGCTTACAGAAGCTGTGTGTGAAGAGAAGAAACGTCCAGTTTAAATACTGTATGAACCTTCCCCCGCATCTTGGTTCAACTTTATCCGACAGCAGTGACACACTTTATTTGGACATGCTCATTTATTCATCATAGTTTTTAAACACTTACCCCAAGCAGGATGCTGGATGGATGGTGTGGCCCTTTAAATACAACGACAGCATTTAAGTCAGCGAGAGAGAATTCATATCACAGATGATCACTTTAGGGACATAGCGGAAAAACAAAATCTGTTGATTCAAATCATTTTTAATAAGTCAGGTTTGGTGAAACTTGGGTCTTATCTTTTCAGTATTATTTCATCGCACGTATTGGTGATAATAACTGGAAATCCGTCAGGTTTTAAACAATTTAATTTCTTACCCAAACTGTCTGTTGTGAAGATACATCAGTTTTCAGACCTACTCTACTGACTGCAGATGTGTGCACACAGTATTACATCTCATCCGCTCTCACTGTTTTAAATCCAACTCTACTTAATTAAGTGAAAATAATACCCAAAAGGCATCTTTTAAGCTTCATATTTATTTGTGGTTGTTCTTACGACAGATTATGATCACAACTTAAAAAAGACAAAAAGGTTCAAAAGACTTACCGGCATAATGTAAGTGCTTGATTTAACACTAATGCCTGCTGTGTGACAGACACCTGCAACTGGACAAAATACAGTAACATCAATTTCTATATTTACGGAATAAGTTACTCTTGTGACATACGACTAGTTTTGAATACAGTCATCTTTAAGGCTGTAAAAAGAGACATTTTATTGTTTTTCCTCACCGAAAAGTTCTCTTTCAAAAACAGAATGATGCTAATAATAATAATAATAATAATAATAATACACAAATTATATTGGGTTTTACTGGGAACTATCTCCTGTCTCCCTCCACACATAGAAGGGAAAATCTTCTTATCAGATTCACGTTTATTGTCAAGTAGGTTTTCACATACAAGGACTTTGCCTTGGTATGTTGGTTTAATAACAATAAAGCAAATAGAATATAAGAAAGATAAAAAAAGAGACAGTAAAAGAAGCCAATATATGCAAATATAAAACATCTTATTAGCTGGTTAAATTAGATGGTAAAGCTTTTAATCTTCTGTAAGTTAAAGTAAAAATTAACATCTTGGACAAGTTGCACACTGGTGAGAGGAGACTTAACAAACCACTGATCATGTATCGATTGATTATTAATTAACACACATTCATCAGCTCCAGCTCTGTCCAGCTGCTTTTCCTGCGGTTGGTAGCATTGAGTATAATCACTTTTTCACAAACACACAGGCAGAACTAAAGGCTCAGTCTCTTTACAGTAACTTTAACAGATTATATGGAAGCAGCAGAACTAACATTGTCAGGTATCATCTCTGCTTTGACCTCTGTGAAGGAAATAAACATCCAGCGGACAGGAAACAAACAGTTACCTTTCGAAACGCCGGATTCATGACTCAGCCTCTCTCTGTTTGCGGTAAACGAGGTGCTGCAGTCTGATTCTGTAAGTTATTTACATGAAAGTAGAGTAAAAACACCAAACACACATGTAGGCTGCAGCCACTGCTCACCGGAAGTTAGTCCGTCCTCTTTTGCGTCCGTGGGTCGAACTGAATAAAGGTTCCGGGATGCCTTCTGTTACAGTGTGTAATAAAATGATATATTATTATTTATATTATATAATAATATATATTTTTGTGTTTTAAAATGTAGAAAATGTGAACCTATAGACTGCGGAAATTATGTTATATATATGTTTTAATAAAATAGCAAATTAATTCTTACAAGCCATATTTTCACATTTTAAAAGCCATTTAATGCTTATTTTTTCTACTATGTTCAGTGTGTTTGTATTTGTTTATTTGTAATTTTTTTTATATAAATCCTACTATTCTTGTATAAGGCTGTCTTTTCTTTTTTTTTTACCTCTGTATGATTTTTTTGTAATCCTTTACAAAAGGATTACAGTCCTTAGTGTTATGTTCCTGACATTTTCCTGAATCTTAGACTTTATTTGTCATTTGGATTTGCATCAAAATGAAATTACGTTACAATAACAAATAGCACAACAGGAATAGAGGAGAGGCAGTATGTACAGTCAAGAAAATAGATAAAACTTTTATATTAAATTAAAAAAAAACCCGTAGATAATAT